ATTTAAACTCACGTCTTGTCCAGGAGAGCCTTTACAGCCAGCAAGTCCAGGGAAACCAGATTCACCCTAAAGGAGAAAACACACAAAAACATCTAAAAAACGGATGCATCTGAGAGGAGAAAGATGGACGCATCAGATGGCCGGACTTTACTCACCTTGCGTCCGTCGATTCCATCCTTTCCCCTTTGACCTTTGTCTCCCTGAGAAGATAGAACAGATGGAAAGAATAGAAAGAATAAAAGCGACAGGAAACCATAAGATTGCAGGGCAATCGTCGGTACAACGGGCTCTCTCTCTGAAGACAAGAAGTCAATATTAGCTCACCTTGTAGCCTTTGTGTCCTCTGTCACCCTGCAGAAAACACACAAACACAGAGTCAGTCACTCAAGAATATTAAAGCACAGAACTGAATCTTATTAAAATATATATTTTGGGGTATCTGACAGTACCTTTCCTCCTCTCGGGCCACGGTCTCCCTAGAAACAGAAACACATACATCATTATTATTACACAGCATGGGGGATGAGGTGAATGATAAGGTGGGAAAACTGACTGGGGGTCAGCGGTCGTGACTAGACAAATATACACATACTCGAAGTTACCAGACAGCCTCCTCTTGAGAAATCAAACTTAATTTACTTGGAGCAGGACTAATATCCTTCTAGTTTACTTCATAGTGCAGAAAATTTAAAAAAAACAAGTAAATACTTTGCTTCAAAATATCATGAAGGCTCCCTTAGATCCCAGCTCCAATCTATCAGCATGTTTTATTAAGTGCACTGTACCTTCATTCCACTGTAACCGACAGGACCAGAGTCGCCAATCCTGCCCTGTAAGAAAGAAATGGGAAAAACAGACAGTTTTTTCAGCAGGTGCACCAAGTGTTGGATGTCACATACTTTTTATGCTTATTACTGGAGGAAGCCACCTACCACTTCACCAATATCTCCCTTCTCTCCTGGCATCCCTGGTCTACCTCTTTCTCCCTGTAGAGAGAAGGGGAGGATGGAGGTTAGTCAACAAGGTTTAAATGGGACGGTTGGAGATCTGTACATAACTACATCTCTCAATTTTCCCAACAGCTATCCCACCTCAGAGCCAGGTTCTCCATCTGGTCCTTTGTCCCCTCCAGGAGCCTGTAGGCAAACAAAAGTTAGCTCCAAAAATATAGTCCAAAGAGAAATCATGCTTGTGACTTATAAAATAAAAAAAGTAGTACTTACAACGCAGTCAAACGAGCAACACTGGAAAAAAAGAACAAAAGATCTTAAAAAATGAAAAGTGTGTCTGTGCGTTGACATTGGATATTTGTTTTGCTCAAATCAAAGTAAGACATGCTGTTAGGCAGGTGCAATCACACTGGAAATACAAAAAAACTGTTTTCTGGTGTCACCTGAACCTCTCACACACACAGCGGTAAAAACCAAAACAATTATAGTTTTAATAGTAATCGCAGTAATCTCAATTAGCTTTTGGATGTGGTGACTGTAGCATCCAGTGTGTGTCCTCAGTGACCTCTCCTAGTTTCCTGTTTAGTGAAGTTGTTTAGTGAAGTTTACATCTCAGTGAAGATACTATAAGCATCCAAACATCCAAACTTTAACCCTGGTTTTTAAACACTGCATTTTGACTCAAAATGAATCAGCAGAGCTCATCAGATACAAATAAGATGTCAAGCTGTTTCTTTAAAAGCAGAGTGCTTAATATTTACTCAGCCAAAAATATGTTTGAACAAACAAGAGCTTAACATTATTGGTGACATTTTTTTTTCTAGCCAGCCTTCCCAGCCCCAAACATGAGAAAACCCAGGCCGGCTTCTGCAGCAAAGCATGCAGCAATCAGTGAAGTTAACTTTATCTGAATAAAAATAAATAATTGGACATACCACATCCTTTGTTTCATTTGTCTGGAAAGAAGAGATAAACCAGGAGTTAGTTTGAAATCCAAATGTTTAAATGTTCAGAGAAGAGAAGAGAAGAGAAGAGAAGAGAAGAGAAGAGAAGAGAAGAGACGTACGATCATGTTAACGATGGTTTCAATGGTTGCCATCTTGCTGGTTTTGATGTCATCAGTTGCAGCAGTGAAGTTCTGTCTGTAGTTGCGGTCTGTGGCGATGAGAGACAGCCTGGCTTCCTGTAAATCAAACACAAACATCTTTATCTACAAGCCGGAAAGAAGCATCGATTTTCCCTTCTGGCCACACTAGTATCCGAATGATTAAGATTAACATCTGCCAACATGTTCTTCCTGACATTAGCCGGTAGAGGAAAATTGTGAAATCCACCACGCAGAGACATGGTATTAAGATTAATAATACTTGTTTTTAACTGACTGTGAACAGAACACATTTTAAAAAAGCATTTTCAATACAGTGCATGCAGAGTTTAATCTGTATATCTGTTTAATCTAAAGAAGCCATGGTGGAATCAAAAACATTTGGAAAGATAATAATTTGTTTTTCCAGAATTCTATTTTCTTCAATTCACTTTTTCTTAAACTGTTTCACTGTGCTGTGGGGTTTACACTTGAGTTATGCTGGATTTGTCTTTAAAGCAGACCTTTTATGCTCTTTTTTTTTTTTTTTTTGCTCCACGTTTGCATGATTCATAGTCTAAACAAGCCTTGTTTATCTTTAACCGAGTCATCCTACGGCCCACCAATTCAATGACCTGTCTGAAATTAAGCATCCCTCCCGCCTCCTTACTGCCTGTTCTCTTCTTATTGGCTGGTGCTCAGAAACAGAAACAGGTGGGAGGAGCTTCTGTGCTTACAACTAGAGCCATGAGCCTGATATAACCATATTAGAAGTTTCAGCTTTTACTGATATCCAGCAGAGCCTAGAGCTGCCTTAGCTAACACTCTGACCTCATTATCTGAACACTTGAGAAAAAGAGAAAAAGTGGAAAAAGTGGACTACGCTCTTTAGCTTCACATGGCATCAGAAAGCTGAGTTGACCAGATCATCCAAAGAAAAACATCTTCTTAGTATGACATTTCTGTCTTAATGCATTTGCAAACAGGATTTGGTTTATAATCATAAGACTTATCCCTTATATTTCACAATTTAAAAAAACAGAACAGATGTTTTCATCAGAGATCAAATAACCTTTATCATGTACACATGGCTATGTAAGTATAAACCTATGAAAAAAAGACTGAAACTGATTTTAGTGAAAATGAAAGGCCAAACCTTAACTCCCCCAAAATGTATTTGAGCAATGCACGGCTGTGCAAAGTTTAAAAAATTATCTGTGTGTGTGTGTGTGTGTGTGTGTGTGTGTGTGTGTGTGTGTGTGTGTGTGTGTGTATGCGTTGTACCTCCTGGTCAGGTGAGATGGCGACAGCGAACACTTTGACCCCGTGTAGCTTGGCTTCGTTAGCTGCCTCCTGCACACCTCCACATGGCTCTTTGTAACCAGTAATAGGATGTCCATCAGTCACCACCACCAAATACTTGTTCTCATGGTAATGGGATCCCCTGAAAGCAGGTACACACGTATGCAAACACATTCAGAAATGTTGTCAGCGTCTTTATTATTTCAGGATGAAACTATGCGTGTGCTGTTATTACCCAATGAGCAGCTCAGCGAGGCCCCTCTTGATGGCACAGTCGGTGTACGTGCCCTTGCCGATGTACTTGATTTCGTCGATGGCTGTCTTCAGGGCATTGCGTTCGGTATTCAAGTCACTCAGCTCCTTTACCAGTATGACTTCGTCACTGTAGTGCAGCGCTCCTGAGTTCCATGTCAGGATGCGGTCACACCGGTGGCGCCTGGATAAGCAATGGTATTAAAATCAAACATGGTACAGACAGGCAGGGGTGGACCAGAACTATGCAGATTCAATCACAGTCATAGTCAGAGGGAAGTATTTCTTTTTCATTCTGCTTCACACTTTCATCCCATTATATTTCATATAAAAGTGATTGGCAGAGTTCTTTCATTTGATTAAAAAAAATCTAAGCCCAGGTGTTTAAAAGTTACTCTATGTTACATTTCCCCAACTGCAGCCACTGTAAGTGGTGGGTGTGGTGGGTAGGTCAAAAGGGCTCTGCACCTATAGCCACGCCCACAGTGTATCCGAGTATGCTGTACAGTGCTCCTTACTGGTACCTGAACACTTCCTCCAGAACTGAAGGTAATTTGTGTGTGTGTGTGTGTGTGTGTGTGTGTGTGTGTGTGTGTGTGTTTCTTACATGTCTTTGAGTTGATCTATGAAGTCCTTGGTGAAACCTTTGATCTGGTCAATATAATAGGAATCTGGTGTCCTTCTGAGGGCAACACTCTCAGATGTATCCAGGACGAAGAACAGGTCAACAGGACACTCTGTTCACAAAGCAGATAATCAATGACTGTGATCAGCAAATATAATCCCACGATTTAAAAAAAAAAATGAAGAAGAACGAAAAAATGATCCAACTAATGTGATTTCTAGCTGCTTAGATTTCTCTAAACGTGTTAACAATCAGCTTCAAGACTGGTGAAACCAGCAGAAGTCATTACTTCAGCACCAGAGGCCTACAGATCATTATAATGAGCAACATTAGATCATTTCATTGGCTGATCTTGTCATACAGGTAGGAAACCTCAGCAGACTATCTGCATCTATAACATGGCTGTTTGCACAAACACCTGTCCTATGACTCCTGTCACCTCGGTGGGGGAGCCGGCCTGAGGTTCTCAGCTACTCTGACATCACATATCAGTCTGCTTTACAGCCAACACCTCACATGACCATTAGGTAAAACGATAGCGGACTAGGATTCTATCATTTTAGTTGTTAGTGCACCAAAATACAGCAAACACACGACTTCATTGCATTCGACATAATAAACACACTTCAAGTGCAAAAGAATCGCACTAGAACATCTGCTTGGAAAGCACCAGATGTTTTCAGCAAACCTACCAGCAACTCTGCGCCGTTGGTCCTGCTGCAGTTGCGCTCCAGCCATGAAAACGCACAGCAGCGCGAGGAGACTTCTGAGAGTCTCCATGATTAAACTGTGAAAGAACAACTAAATCACGACACCCCAACCCCCGACAAAAAACAACTGCGGCCCCAAGCCCGACACCTCTAAACTGATTTGGTGAAGTTTTGGCGATCCAGAGCTCCGTCGGAGTTTCTCCGAGGCGAAACCCAAGAGCGCGCAGAGGAGGACCAGAGCGCACGGTGAGGGGAGAGGAGGGGGGGAGCAGGAGGAGGAAGAGAAGGAGGAGGAGTTCGTAAAGCTTTCTCTAAGGAAGCTGATGAGAAGCAATGTACCAGAGCGCGCACGGACCAGCAGTTTACGCCAATTACCCAGATGTGCACGCTTCCTTAAAAGGGGTCAAACAATAAACTGGTGACTGTCAGCGAGACTTCAGCATTCACAGAGCTTATTCTTTTTATTTTGGCATAAAGAGAAAATGTGGAAACTGGACATTTAGTTTTTCAGTTTCACATCGTTTATAGAGAGCGCCCCTTTAATGTTATTTGGTCACTACGCGGCTGCCCCTTCATCAAACTGCCTACATGTCACCCACAAAAATCAAGAAATGCAAACCAGAATAGATGAAGCTGAAATCACTTCATGTTGCTTAATGAAAACCATGTGGCGCACATCTTGGAAGCATTTTGAGCTCTATTCCTGCAGAAATCTGCGGAAGATGGGGTGGGGGTTGGTGGGTGGAGCTTTAACACATCTGGTTCATTTTAAAAGTCCAGACCCAACCTGAACATAAAAGCAAGACGAGAAGGGCGTGGGAGCGCGCTGCGGTGGGGTGGTGTCTCTATTGACCCTTTGGAAGCAGCGCCATCTAGCGCTCCTTGAGGGCTGACCTTGGAAGCTACTTTGGAAAGAGGGGGCGTTCATTTGGCAAGGTGTTGATGGGGGGGTGGGAGGTGGATGCTGCACAGTTGCTGCCGACATGTGTGTGTGTATGTGTGTTTGTGTGTGTGTGAAGGCATCGAAGGTCTGGCCTGGACTCAGATTTTCCACTGAGATCACCGAGTTAGGGAGAGAAGGAGAGCAAAGAAGGGAGAGGAGGAGGGACTAGGAAGAGAGAGGGGGACACATCTGGTTACGATCTGTATTTATTAGCAGGCTCTCATTGTAAATCTGTAGGATTTTTGGCAGATGTGGTGCTCAGCATGAAGCGTGATGCGTGCATTTCACAATTCGTGCCTTCATCAGGAATACATTATTCCATAATAAAACTCAGAGGAATGCACCAACAGAGCTCTGCAATAAACTTTGTTTTTGTGAGTTACACAACCCCCCGGAATTTATGAATCTGACAAGTTGGACTGAAATCTGTTTCATTCACTAGAAGCAAAAGATTAAGCTATACATGTGAAGAAAAAGGAGACGAGAGGCTCGGGGTGAAGCCCAATGTTCACAGGAAATCAGTAGGATTTTTTAGTGAGCTAGAAGGAAGGCAGCCAACGCACCTCCAGCCAGAAGATGCTAACATCTTGCAACATTTAAATCATTACGACAGCCAACTTTGGTGGTTGCACCTCCCTGTGAATGGCAGAGAAGTGGGTTTGTTTTGAGAGAGAATAAAACTCAAAGGTTGCTATGGACGAGTGAGCATGGATGAGATGTAACTGGGATGGGGATTAAAAAAAAAAACTGAAGTTGAAAAAAGACAAACAGAGCTTCTTTTTTTTCCCTCAAAGAAAAAAAAAATCCCATAAAACTCAGCACAGATGGAAGAAATTAATGGTAATGCGTCTCTTACATAATGACACATCATGTTTGCCTGAATTTCAAGTTAAAACACAAAACTGGGAACAGAAGTGGTCCGAATCCAGCTTTTTTTAGCTGGACGCAAAGTAGAGAATTGAATTAAAAAGCTAGATAAAAATGTGGTGATGCTTTTTACGCCGCCTTTAAACACTTCAGAAATGGCGGGACCCCAGTGAGGAAATGAGGAAACGGGAAGAAACTGTGCTTTAATCAAACTTCCAAGCCGTGCCAAAGAAAGCAGATAAAGGAGACATGGGCCACAGCTGCAAAGCTGTATTTGTTTTCCTGACAAATAAATAATTTGATGATAAAGAAAGTCATGATATCAACTCTGCTGGTTAACTAACACGCGTCAGTGCATGGCAAACTGCTTAATAGTCACCTACTGCCATCTAGTGAAACTGAAGTCTAATACAGACTACCTTTTGTTTTTCTGAGAAAGAAAAAAACTTAACAGGCATAAGGAGTAACAAAGGGAATTTAATCTGAAATTCACAAACCTTTCAAACCACAGAGAGAATACAAAAGGCTTAAGGAGAAAAAAAACAAAACAACAAAAAGAAAATGGGCTTTTTAACTTTTACAAATTCACACTTATTTGTCATCCAGCATATTTACAGAGAACCTTTTTTTCCACCTCTGCAACTTTTACCTCCTTTTCCCAAAATATATCTTCATCCACTTCAGACATACAGCACATGCCCCCCACCCCAATCATCTCAGTGACAAAATATTCTCTGAACTCCTTTTATCCGTCTCCCCTGATCCATGTGAAGCAGAGCTGGTGTTTGTGTAGACCAGATATAATGCTTAAATGCTCTGGCAGCACCTGAGGTGACACTTCACATGGCACATTCTTAGCTGACTCTTAACATTAGCCAAGAAAGCACTGACAATCCACACAGGACCCGACTCTGCTGCAGCTCTGTTCAGTATTTACTCTAGCTTTTACTGCAAACATTTACTAAACAAATGAGCCTCGCCTTCTAAAAATTACACCCCTCGTACGACAAACTGCAATCTCAAATAATCACATTTGCCCTTTCGGTCTCTGGCATTCCTATGACTGCTTCTTATTAGACAACCAATATATATTAGACGTTGCGGTTACTCATGACTTAGGAAAGGGAGGAGAAGCTTCTGTGTGATTACAATTGTAAAAAAAGGCCAATTTAAACCCAAACCGCGCTGCTTATTTTGAAACTGAACCAAGCCGTTTTGGGTCTGACACTAACCAAGGTTTAAAAAAAAAAAAAAAAATCATAAAACTAAGTTAACAAATACAAAGGGCCAACATGTGAGTCAAATTTCCTGGCTTAAAGTCTTGTGGCTCCAGCTCCAAAGATGTATGCCTCTGTGCTCTCAAATGTGCAACGTAGCAACAAATCTCTGCTGAACCTTTTATATCTATGCTTTGTCATCCAACTTAACTGTCAGCTTAGCTGCAGGGGGATTGTGATGTTTAGGAGACAGCGTTGAATCTTATCATCATCAGAGCTGCAGTCTGCCCGGGTTAGTTAATCACAGTAACCTCATCATTTTCACAAGTGTGGTGATCGAGAGCTGGGTCTAACAACTGTCACAACCAACTGTAGCACGACACTAAGAATCAGGATCAATAATCAGAAGTTCAGACAAATATTTATCTCTGTAACTATTAGGGAGCTCTGGAAAAAGTAAGCTCCAACTAACATCTCATTGCATTCACGCATGAGAAACTGATGTACAGAAGAAAAAAAACAAAACAAAACAACCAAAGCCAGATGGGAAAAGAGGGAAGAATTTGTTTGTGCTGGTTGGAACAATCTCGAACTAATGGATGAAGAACAGGAGCCGAATCTCCTCGCCTCACTTTCTACAACAGCCAGTCGGCATCATTCCCGTATTGCTTGGTTTAGTTGGTCCATTGAAAGTTTCTTAGATAATGTCAGTTTTCCTTCATGCCTGCTTCAGCTCATGTTCGAGTGGCTTTTCAGGTGCCTCCTCAGGTGGTTCAGACAGGTGTAAGTCTTGGGGCAGATCTGGCAGTGATACGGTCGCACCCCCGAGTGGTTCAGCATGTGCTGCTTCAACACGCTTCCGTCTGAGAAGGCCTTCCCACACTGGGAGCACACGTACGGCCGCTCCCCCGTGTGCACGCGCATGTGAACTGTGACTTTGTGCGCCATTGTGAAACCTTTGCCACAGACCGTGCACTTGAACGGCCTCTCTCCCGTGTGAGTGAGCCTGTGCGTGCGCATCGCCCCCATCTGGGAGAAAGCCTTCCCGCAGTCTGGGCAAACGTGCGGTTTCTCGCCCGTGTGAACCCTGGTGTGACTCCTCAGTCCTCCGGCCGTGGAGAAGCACTGCGAGCAGTGAGTGCACTGGTAGGGCCGCTCTCCCGTGTGAGTGCGCATGTGCTGCTTCAAATCATAGCGGTTTCTGAAGCCGCGGCCGCACACCAGGCAGCTCTCCGGTCTGTCGTCGTTGTGGCGGAGCTCGTGATTGGCCAGGCATTTTTCGGAGAGGAAACATTTGCCGCATTCCTGACACTGATACGGTTTCTCGTGGTCGACCCTCTGATGGTACTTGAGCTCGCTGATCCCAGGAAAGGTCTCGTTACAGTATCTACACCTGAAGCGATGGTTGGGGCTGTAGGGGAGCTGATGTTCACTCATCTGATGGTTCCTCAACAGATGAGCCATCTTGAAGGTCTTCCCACAATGAGAGCATTCATATTTCGTCAGCAACTGGACACACTGGTGTCTGACACGCTCGTGCATGGACCTGAACTGGCACCCACACTTGGTGCAAATGTGGGCGGCGTTTTTACACTTCCTCTTCCTGTGCCCTGACAGGTGAGCCTCGGTGCGGAAGGCTTTTCCACACTGAGAGCATTTGTAAGGCTTCACAGCTGTGTGGAATCTCTGGTGTTCAAGAAACTCAAAGCGATATTTGAAGCTCCTGCCACACAGCGGACAGTTATGGGTGACTCTTCCTCGCTGGTAGACTGCTTTGACGGACCTCTTCCTGGAGGAAAGAGACACTGATGTCCGATGGCTCGAGCCACTTTTCCTGTGTTTATCTCCACTCATTAACTTGAGGGTGTCCATTTCACCAACCTCTTCATGCCTTTGTTGGTGTTTGTCCAGACTCTTTGAGGAGATGAAGCTCTTTCCACATTGCTTACACTGATAAGGCTTCTCATGATCAACTTGCTGATGGTACTTCAGGTCACCTATTCCTGAAAAACCAATCCCGCAGTGGCTACACTTGAAAAGGCGGCTTTGAACATGAGTTAGCAGATGTTCCTTCAGGCTGCTGGACTTTGGAAAACTCTTTCCACACTGCCCGCAGTCGTAGTTACGTCCCCGTTTCGGGCAGTGATGTCTGAATTTCTCCAGCGATGTTGGAAAACTGTTCCCGCATTTGATGCAAAGATATGCCGCATTTTTGCATTTCCGCAGCCTGTGTCCAGCAA